AGTAAGACACTACCATAAATCAAATCACACATATTTCTACATAGGGTCACGATCACACATGCGCGAAATTAACATTTTCCCTCCCGTTCACTTATATTTTCCTGTCTGTTCACCATGACAACAGGCACAATAAATGTTAAGCATAAATATTCTGATAAATTAAATAAATGTAAGTGAAAAAAAACATGTGTTCACATTGATTAATGCACACAGGCTTGCCGGATATTACTCTGTGTTAGCATGATACAGTGGTTTATCTACAATGTTTTTGTGGACTGCTATTTTCTTTTTATTTATGACATCATGTCATGTTTGCGATCTAATAAGACAGTGAGTTGGAGACAACATGCATGTAATGACCCCTGTACAGATAAGTCATAAGTCAACCACAAGTAATCCTCCACTTAGCAAACTGCAGCACCTTAACTCCCAGGTCTTCCAGGCTGTTTGTTCTGGGAAGTTTTGGAGCTTCCTCACTTCCTTTGCTTTCCTCTTTCTCCTCTGCCTCAGGCTGCAGGTCAGTTATATCCAATGTGGACAGCAGGGACATGAGGTTGACCTCTGCCTTTGCAATCTTGGCTTCTTCAGGATACAAATAAACAAAGAAAAATAAATTAAACAATTATCTTTTAACCTTCGTAGGATTTATTTTTAGGAAAGTATAATATGATACCTTTGTCAGTGAAATCCATCCCTGCTTTAAGTCCAGGTGGGACTCTGAGTAAATCTACACGGAAAAAGAAAATGACAAATTTAACCATTAGGAGCTGAAAAAACCACAAGTGTCAGCATTACCTAACAACACTGTAACTAATCATTTAAAAATTACCATTCTCAAAGTCTATTTCCTCCTCCAGTTCAGATTTCTTCTTGATTTGCTCCAGAGTAAGCTCCTCCATTCCTCCTATGAAGATCACCATCCCAACAACAATATTGTTAGATAATAAATGCAAAGTGAAAACACCTCAGTCACATCTAAAGGAAGATCAATCAATCTCACCGGGGAGGAAGGGGTAATTAGTGTTGCTTCCTCGCAGGCTCTCTGCAGGAGGACCAGGTTGGCGTTGGAATGAAAGTGAGTTCTTTGCTGACAGGCTAGTGTTCTCCAGTAAGACCTAAAGAAGAGTTAAAGACATAACAGAGCCGAAAAGTAACTGAATTAACTTTTACTTTGTTCAAAGTAACACACAGGCTGCTTCATACAACTAACATGAATCGATTCTTCAATAATGTATTCAATAATGTGATCTACCTCTGTGAAGTCCAGCAGCATCCCTGTGGTTGGATCTCTGACGACAGAGACACCGGAGTGAAGAGCAGACGGAGAGCAGTGGATCAGAGAGTTGACATTCACTTCTCTCTGGGTCACCCTGTTGAAGAAAACAATACAACATCTTATTCAGATACATATGATTATTTAAAGAAAAATCTTATCAAACCAATTGAATGAACCCTCAGTATCGTTATCTCGTCAGTATTGGTAATACTTATTAGCAACTTTTTTTATTTAATATCTGATACCAATACATTTAAAAAATCTCTTTTATAAGTATTGCAGCTAAACACTTTCAAATTGTTCCACTCCTTTCAAAATCAAGTTGATACTATAAGGCAACATACAATATTGAAGGTTAAAGATTCATGATAGGTTACTCTAAGGTTGATTCTGGGCCAGATGTGGTATACGTTACAATAATTGTAGTTTTTTTAATTGGTACGAGTATAACATTGTTTACAACATCAAAGTACTGCAAATTGCACATACTCTAAAGCAGGGGTTCCCAACCTTTATTGTGCCAAGGACCAGCAGATACATTAAAAAAAAATCGCGGACCGGTTGTCAATTTTAACTGATTTTAATATTTACTCACCACCAGCAGGTAGCAACAGAGGCTAATTGTATGTAACAGCCTGAACAAATACTAGAACAATATGCATCCAAAACATATTAACAAAGTTTAAAAAAGAACCGGTGTTGTTTTCTTTGGTTTTTAAACCAAAACGGGAAAACAGATAAATCAACGTTTTGGTTTTGTTTGTATGATTTACGGATAATCCAGTGAATGCTGGGAAAACGAGGAGAAGGCGCATTATGAAGGAGATGTCCGGTCGCCTGTGTGTGTGTGTGTGTGTGTGTGTGTGTGTGTGTGTGTGTGTGTGTGTGTGTGTGTGTGTGTGTGTGTGTGTGTGTGTGTGTGTGTGTGTGTGTGTGTGTGTGTGTGTGTGTGTGTGTGTGTGTGTGTGTGTGTGTGTGACACTGGCATTTGTTTTCAGAAGATATTATAATAGTGTTGTTCGTTCCGGTGCACTCCGACAGCATTTAGCACTACATCGAGATTAAGATTAAACTAATTTATTTTGGGAACAGCTGCATGTTAGCCATATGTGTGTAAATTACTGTTCATAAACATTTGAAAACAAATGCCGGTGTCGGACAGACACAAACACACCGAACACACAGAGCTGAGCTGAGCAGAGCACATACACACACACATCATGCGCCTTGGTGACTGACTGGACATCTCCTTCATAAAACTAATAAAAGGGGGAGTAATCGGGCAGTTCAATGTGTGTAGAGATGTGTGTAGAGGTGTGTGTGGTTAACACGTAGCAGCCTGCAGTCACTCTTAAGCTGTTCTGATGAAGTTAAACACAGCGAATGCGGTGCGTAAAAAGGCACAGCTCTTTACGCGCTGGTGCTGCACTTCTCAGAGGCGGAGTATACGTCCCGCTGCCTCCTGATGTTGCAGCCATTTCATGAAGTGAAGGAGGTTTTCCTTATATAAAACAGCTGTGGGCAGCAGATACCGTGAGAGTCCCGGACATGAATTCATAGATCAAGGCAGACTGGTTTACTTTCCTGTTTTGCCAATCCGGTGCTTAAACAAATAGCTCTACACCCCTGGCCGACATGTCCAGACTTAAAATGAAGTCCGAGTTTGAAATATATCTCAAATAATGTATGCACCACCATTTCCCCACATAAACATAACAGTCTGCAATCAAACGGTTGTCTCCTGTGCGCTCCTCTTCCTACTTGGCGCACCGGTAACATTCTCGTGCGCACAAGAGGCTGAGACCTTAGGCTGAGCCGCCGAATCCCTCGGAACATCATAAAAGCCATTTTCAACGGTTTTCTGGTGAAAGATTAACTAGCTACTGGATGAAATAATATGACTGGTGGCACAGGTGCAAAAATTAAACACTTTTTGAAAAAAATATTATGATAAAATATTTTGATATATTTATAATTCTGCAAATATTACAATAAACTCACAGCTATTTCGCGGCCCGGTACCGGGGGTTGGGAACCCCTGCTCTAAAGAACATATTGGGGTTTCTTGTCAAACCAGCATTCATTATTTACAATGTCAAAGCTTATATAGCAATAATAACTAAATGTTTTACAGGAAGACGTACTTGAGAAACTTCTGGAAGGCAAAGTCAGTGTCATGAATAGGAAGCCAGGCAGCATCCCGTAAAAACTGTTTCTCTACTTCTGTCTCCAGGCTCAGGCTGGTGGGAGGAAGCCCATGAGGGAGCTGTGGGGGGAGATAAGATCAGATATTCAGTGACTTAGTGAACCAGCATGTAATCATTACATCCCAGATAAAACCCATCTTGTTTTATCAGATATAGTCCACCTTCTATCTGTATGAAAATACGTCTTTTAATTAAAATATCTATTAACAAAAGAAGGTGGACTAAAATCCAATAAAAAAAGAGGTCTGTCCTGTTGTCCAGTGTATAAATAATATGTGTGGATTTAGGGTCAGATTACATAGGAGGTATTGTAATATTACAATAATAAAACAACGCTGCATTGATTTGTCTGAGACTTTTTAATTAAAAAACTGCTGTTTTTTCATTAAAATATTTGTATAAAACTGAAGAAGCCCTAAAAAAAACAAAAAACAGATGTGTCGCATTTGTCCAGTGTCCAGTTATTATATGGTATGGACTGGGACCACCAGGGTCACATGAATGGAAGCTATTCGTAGTTCATGTCTTTCTAATATCTAATACAATCAAAACTTCACTGTGGTTTAATGTACAGTAATCCTGCTGCACTCACCGTGCTCTGTGGAGCTAAAGGCTGGTCAGGTACAGGGTGTGTGATGAGCTCAAACCGGCCGGAGCATCCCATCTCCAGCAGGGACAGCGGCAGGTCCATGGGGCCCGCGGGGGGCACATCTGCAGAGAAACAACACAAAGAGGTTGAATGGACTGAACACACACAATGAGGCCAGGAAGATGCGCCCTGTGCAAGCGAATGCTAACTTAACTCTTTAAGGCAATTGTACTTATAATGCAAAGCTACAGAGCCGCTGTTTTTGCACTCCTTACTGTGTTTTGAATGCGTGTTTTTTACTTGTGGAAATGCAAGAAAGGCAGATTTCAATGCTTGTCTAGAATATTTCACAATAGAAAGAGATGCAAAAAACGGAACAATGGTCGCGACGAAATGTAACTTAACTTCCCCTTTAACTGGATAATCGAAAGCTAACTTTAGCATCGTTACAGCCTTGGTTATTATCTAAATATGAATTGTATTTTTTCTGAATGGATATCGTTTTGACAGCTACCCTGTTAGCCACATCATCACACAAGCTACACAGTGAGCGTTATTAGCAAGTTTAAACGCGTTTCAATATGAACAATAATATACAGGCTAGCATTACATTGAAAAAGCTAGACTTACTTATTCTGTCCATGTTCCCACTCTCAAGTGAAAGCTAAAAGTTGCCACCAACAGTTGCTGTCGCTTCGGAAGTTGCTGAAATTGACAAGCGGAAGTTGCTACTAAGCTAGCTAAACGATAGCTAAAATAAAGAATAAACTTTAAACGTTTTCATAAAGCTGTCTACAATATATAATCAATTCATATATTCCAAATGAGTGTACATTTTGTGTGTGTCGATACATGTTTTTGCTTATTGTTGTTGCAAAAATTAAAAAGATAAACGCAACCTGGATATCCTACGTCATATTTACGCGTCCGTGTTATTATTGAGGAGCAACCGTTTGAAGTTGGTGAGTGAATGAATTCAATAGAGCTTCTTAATACGTATATAAAATAGTTTTAAGAGACCACACATGCATTTATTATTCTAAAGGTTGACTTTTACTTTGTATGTGGTCTGAACTGGCTAACTACCTGTATATTTTCTGACGCCAGTCGTGTTTTTTGTCAGGGTTATTAGCTTAGCTAGGCTAGCAGCTGTGAACGGGTCATAAGTACATTTGTTAAAGCCTATTTTGTTTAACAACAATGATATGTGTTCACCTGTTAATGTATTCGTCTGTGTTGTAGCTCTTGTCGTCATGGTGGTGTTTCCAAGTTCACTGACGGAGGAAGAAGAGGCTCTGCAAAAGAAATATGCTAAACTCAAGAAAAAGGTAAATAAATAGATGCTTGCTGTTACATTTAGGACTTTATTATCAAAGGATCCCTATAAGCTAATTAATTAACCCTATTGCAATAATTCTCTTTTAGAACACTTTTATATTTTTTAACATTAACTTGTTTCCCTTTCTTTTTAGAAAAAGGCCCTGCTTGCCTTGAAGAAGCAGAATTCAACCAACCAGACAAACCAAAGTGGCTTAAAACGGAGTAAGTGCATTAGACTCCATTTAAAGTACTTCAGCATTTTCTTTTCTCAGCTAACTAAACTACACATTATGTTTACTCACAACCGAATTTGTTTATCTAGCAATCACTTCAATGTATACAATGTCACTTTATGTTCTTATGTGCAAATGTGTTCTGTTCACAATCATTTTATAATACAATTAAAACACAGTAAGTACACCTAACAAGAAATGTAAATGATAAATGCTCTGACTATAAATACTAACAAGTAACTGGTTGAACAGACAAACTATAAATACCTGCAGACCCATTTGTATACTAATACCCACTCAATCAACTTTTTTGCGATATTCAGGCTTCTAACTTTACACTTCATAACAGCTTTGTCAGACCAGCCTGTTGTTGACACGGCAACGGCCACAGAACAAGCAAAGATGCTCATCAAGACGGGTGCCATCAGCGCCATCAAGTCAGAGAACAAGAACTCTGGGTTTAAACGCTCTCGAATGCTGGAAAAAAAGGTAAGCTGATATTCCTTAGAAGGTGTTGTTTTGGCTGATGGTCACCTGTTTTCATTGCTTTGATTTGTTTGTTATGTTGTTTAATTGTTCCTCTCTATCTGCCACAGGACCCCGAGAAAGGCCAAAATCCGGCTTTCTTACCTTTCCAAAGGAGTGTCTCTACAGATGAGGAACCACTTGAGGTATTGTTTATTCAAAACATACAAATGTGACGATTCTGTCGCAAAAGGGGTCTTGTATTTTATGTTTGTAGGTTTCTTTCTCAAGTAGCATCACAACCTGAAATTTAGAATACTATTCAAGTAATTTTTTTCTCCTCAGAGTGAAATACCTTCTGTACAATTTCAAACATAGGTGACTCTTGTAGTAGAGTTAAAAGAAACCCATATGCCATATAATGAACATACCTTTACACATTTGCACATTATAAGGTCTAAAAAGGAATAAAGCGTTTCGGGGGGAAAGAAATACAGCTTATTCTGATGGTATCATATTTGTTCTTTTCATAGGCTGGGAAAAGATCCAGGAGGCCACTGTATGAGAGGTAATGTCTCAAAAACAACAATGAAAAAGCAAAACAACCTGTTTAATACACTGAAAGTGAACATCTATGGGTGTAACATCATTTCCCCGTGTGCCCCTTGCAGCTTTGTCAGCTCAAGAGACAGGTTCCGGGAGGAGGAGGAAGGAGCCAGCGTGCCGCCCAGCCGTGAAATGGAAAGGGACGTAGACCGAGAGCGGGACCGGGACCGGGAACGAGAGCTGGATAGAGAGCGGGACAGAGAAAGAGAGAAGGACAGAGACCGGGAGAGGGAGAAAGACAGAGGCCGGGACAGGGAAAGGGAGCGGGACAGAGAAAGAGAAAGGGACAGAAGCAGAGAAAGGGATCGAGACAATGACAGGGAACGGGACAGAGAAAGAGATGCACCGTTCAGACGTGAGTAACCAAGCAAAAAATAAACCATCCGCAGAGAGCGAAGATATCTCTTCAAATATTACTATCCAACTCTAGTGTTAACTCCTCTCCCATGTTTTAATTCTCAGGTTCAGATTCATACCCAGAGCGGAGAGGGGTACGAAAGGGGAACACGGTGTATGTTTATGGCTCTGGGCTCGGAGAGGACAGCCTGCGCTCTTCCTTCTCTCCACATGGAACCATCATTGACCTCTCCATGGACAACCCACGAAAGTATGTAACCATTAAAGAACGTGCAAGTTATGCATGAATAAGTTATAACATGCAAGTTATGCATGAATAAATGTTATCTTTCGTCCTATGTTTGACATGTGTTTACATAATTCCATCAGTTGATATTTATTTATTTTCTAAGTATAAAAACTCCATTATCTTACACCCTTTATTCTGCTTTCATGACATTATATTATACATTGCCTTTATCAGTCCACAATGGAGTAGATCATGAAATAAAAAATGACCTACGTATGTACTGAATTAAGAACACGTTTTGAATTGAATCTGCACAACCATAATACACTATACTGTATAACTTCTCTTGTAAAAGTTTTTTTCAACAACCAGTAGTGATTTTTTTTCTTCTCTTCCTCTTTCCAGTTGTGCATTTATCACTTTTGAGAAAATGGAGTCTGCAGACCAGGCCGTAGCTGAGGTTGGTGTTCCATCTTTGAAAACGTTTTAATAAAATGAAGCAGCAGTTTTCTATAACAATGTTGTGGGCCATGTGTGTCTTGTATAAGGGGAGAATAGTATGTTTTTTGCAGTTTAAGCATGATATTTTTGAGATGACTAAGTTAAGCAAAGGGCATCCATGCAAATGTAATATACTATTGAAGACGGCAGATACTGAAGGTTGCGAAACCAGGCATGAGAAAGTGTGATGACGTCATCCCTAGTTGTGGGGATGCCCTGCTCATGTAGACTGTATACAAAGCAGGCGGCCACTCTAAACTCACCTCGCTGTATTTATCTCACAGTTGAATGGAACCACAGTGGGAGATGTTCACGTCAAAGTAAGCATCGCCAGGAAGCAGCCTATGCTGGACGCTGCCACAGGCAAATCTGTCTGGGCTTCACTGGGTAAACACAGCACTCTGATAGTTTATTTTATTTGTTCAGCACAGCCTTGGGTTAACCTTCAGCGATGTCTTTTTTCCTTTCACAGCTGTGCAGAACAGCACTAAAGGCTCCTACAGGGACAAGAGGAATCAAGTCGTGTACAGTGAAGATTTCCTGTGATGAATTCTTTTTATTTTTACTTTTGATGTTATTTTAATGACGTCCGCTAGCAGCATAAATACAAAATAATCTGTTGTCTCTTTGATTGGAGCATTTTTCATGGTTGGTATGTAATGCTTTGTGGTTCATGAAACTAGAGATGCCGTTTGGATCTCAATAAAAAGATTTCCATGAGCCTTGTATCAACAAAACTCTGTCAGTGGGCAACAAAGACCAAATGTGAGATGTGTATGTGTATTAACGGAAGTATTGAAAATCTGAGACCAACTTTTCAACATCGGAATGGCAGGGAGTTAGGGAAATGCATGAGCAACTGTTTATTTAAAAATCCCACTTTTAAAAGGTATATTCTGAATGTTTTTACACAACACCCCAACAGGTATATACAAATGTACAGAAGAACAAGGCAGGTGTCCCTCTGCCAGCATCATATCTGGGTTGGTAGACTAATGTTGTGCAATTGAATGATTTTTAGATGTAATTAGGAGGAAACTTTCCAACATTTTTATTCACACTGGTTTACATCATACCTTTGAACTGTGGTTAGTCATTTTATTGAAAAATGTTTAAGTTTTAATTTTCACAGTGACATTTTATAAGGGCATCACAGTCAGTTTCCAGCTCTTGCTTAAGAAGGGGCAGGTCACCCCTAATTTGTTTGGTAAAAGAAGACAGTGCTTTCATAAAACTGCTCACAACAATGTCTGTAAATGATCTGGATGAGAAATTGCTGTTGAGACTCTAAAACTTTTTTTTTGGCTTGGAGCACCACAAACAGGAGGATACTGGAACATGACAGCCATCCTGGTCCATCATTTATGAGAGAAAGAAGACCTCTCTATGGCAAAATATTGTAGATTGATAAATGGCACTGCAGGTGAAAAAATGTGTATTTTTTATTTTGGGGTTAACTGTTCTTTTGGTACTTGTGGGTTATCTGTTGCCACTTTTTAATAGCGGGTAGCTCCTCCACATTAACTTTTTAATTTCTCAAAATAACAAACATTAATTTTAGGAGTTAGGGTTATTTAGAGAGTCTGAAAAAAACAAAAAAAAGTGGCGACAGATAACCCACAAGTACCATTATTTTAATATCTACATGGCGCCATGCCCCAAGAGACTGACCTCCCCACTGGACTTGTTGCTCTGCAAAATGTAACTGCAGTAGGCAACCGAGTAGCTTTAGATGTCTAGACACTTATTTTACATCTTTAATGACATTTGTTCAGTAACCAGGCACTCTTGCTCTTCCTCTCGTATTGTCGCAGCTCTCTCCCTCTCCTCTTGCTCGTGTAGAGAGTTCTGCCCTGTGGTTTTTCCGTGTTGTTCCTTCAGGTGGCGTCTTAAGGCAGGCTTGTGAGCAAAGCGGGCGTGGCAGTACGCACAGCGGTGTGGCCGCTCGCCACTGTGGAGGTTCATGTGGTCTATCAGTGTGGATTTTTGGGTGAAAGTCTTATAGCACAGGGGGCACTGGTGAGTTTTGCCTCCGCCTCGATGCACAGCCATGTGCCGGGTAAGGTTGGCAGAGTGGTGGAAGTGTTTGCCGCAGCAGGGGCAGGTGTAAAGCAGGTGGGTGGAGCGGGAATGGAAGGCTAGGGATTGGGTGGAGGGGAATGTGATGCCACAGTGCTCACATATCACAGGCCCAGACACACTGGAGGTGGATCCCACCACCGCGACAGACTCATCCCCTCCCTCGTTTGTCCCGACAGTCGTCAGCCCTGAACTTCCCTCACCAGCACCACAACTAGACTCCTCCAGGACGCACTGGGTCAAACTGTTGCCTCCCATTGGTGAGACCCTTTCCACCTTAGCGTCACCCATACTGTAGTCTAACTGTGGGAGTTCAACGGAGAGGAGGTTTCCTGTCTTTGGCCCTTCTTGGTTGTAGTCCATGTTCATAATACCTCCCATTCCTGCAGTTGCTAAGTACCACAAATCCTGGTTGGTTGGAAGTCTTTTCTCCTGTGTTGACACCCACCTTCTTTTCCTAAAACCCCTGCCTCTCCCTCTGCCCCGCACAGTTTTAGGGTCAGAAAGCCTGCGTCTGAAAGCGCGGAGCCCCTCAGCTGAAAGTCCCCCAGTACTGAGATTATCTTCTGTTGGATTTAGCTCATATTCACCGCTTTCTCCAATCACCACACCGTCAGTCTCTGGGTAATAAGCATCCTGTGTTCCTTCAGAGGGAGCTCCTCTCTCCTCCTCCCGGTCTCTGTTCATCTGATCTTCTGAGATGTACACTCTGAACACATCATAGTCCTCCTGTCGAGCCTTTTCCTCCTCATCTGATGCGCCTACCTGTAACAACAAATTAAGACAGAATAAGGAAAGGTAGCGCTGTAAAAAAAAAAAGTGAAATACACCACTCAAAATTCCCCAGACATGTTTAAAATTGCTTGCTCTGTCTAACCTACAGTCCAAAATTCAGATATATTCATTAACACTCAACACAATCGCAATTAGGTTTTCTTTCACACACAAACCTTAATGCATGGCTCGTCCAAAGTGGGACTGCCATGGTAGTGTTGACTGCTTCCCTGGGCAGACATGTCTCCGCTGTTCTCCTCCACTGAGCGCACTACAGGACTGTGTAGATGCAAAGGGGAGGGTTGGCTGGTGGGAGGGGATGCAAAAGAGTGAACGCTTCCGCTGACAATTAAAGGTTGAGCCTGGCTCTTCTCTGAAGTCATCTAGAGGAACAGAAAAACACAGATTATGCCATTGCTAAAACAAAACAAAACTGCATTAGCTATGAAAATGCCTATAATGTGTAGAACTGAAAATCATCCCCCATCGCAACACACAAGAACTCTGACATAACATATGATTAGGATCAAATTGGGGGAAAAAACTGTTAAGTTTCTCACAATTTTCACAATGAACAACAGGAAAAGTAAAAGACACAGAAAGCCTTTTCCACAACTGTATGACATGTATCTACTTGTGTATTAACTTATTCTGGATAACTGACCTTTGCTGGACCGGGTTTTTTTAGCTGCACATACTTCTTCAGGGCTCCACGGCAGCGCTCCACAATATGCTCCATCTGTAGGTAACTGGCAGCGGTCAGGTAGTTGACAATCTCTTCTGGGTTAAACTGCAGGAGGCCAGTGTAACAAGACTGAAGCAGTCCACACACCACTGTGGAGCTGTACAGCATCGACACCTGGGTAAACATTTGAAACAAATAACGTAAATAAGCGCGTTGAGGAGAGACACAACGACAGAGTTTGTCAGTGGGACATTGTGAGTGTTGACAATTGCCTACCTGGAGCTTTGGGGCCGGGTTGAGGAGGAACTGGTCCCTCAGGAAAGGCGAGCAGGCAGCCAGGACAACTTTATGGCCCCTGAAGGTCTGGTTGTCGCTGGCCACAATAGTGATGTCACAGAATTGCTGGCGGGCCCTCAGTGTGTTCAGGTGCTTTAGGGTCGTGTCCCCGTGGCCAGGTAACCGGAAACACAGCATCTCCATCTTGTCTGACGAGAATTGGGGAAGCATTCATGTAAGTAAACTGATACATCAGATTGTTGGTTTACAAAGATAACTCAACTTGTTGATTATATTTGACAAAAGTCAAACTAAACTATGTAATTACTCAACAACAAACATAGACAAATATATACCGGTTTTTTATTACCACTTTACATGGCTTTTCAAATGTTAACGTACTGCTATTTGTGAATGACATGACCTGTATGAAATATAATCAACATAGTATTTAATAGTTATTGGTCATTTACCTCAGGTTGAACATGCTGTAATACCAAGTAAAGTCAAATCAGTAGCGAGTGCCACAGTGACGCGTCCTAAAACCCGGAAGTAAGTTAGCATTTTACCACTTCCGGTTCCTTCGACAAAAACCAATGCAATTTCTCCATAGGATTTTGGAAAATAGCTCGAAATAGGGTCTGTGGTTGACACAAATTGAAGAGACAGATCACGTTTTGTGAAAAAAACGTGATCTGTCTCTTCAATTTGTGTTTTGGTTTTTGTCGAAGGAACTGGAAGGAGTTTACTTCCGGGTTTTAGGACGCGTCACTGTGGCACTCTATTACTAATCTATAATAATAAAAGCCTTGAACCTTGAATCTGTTACTTACTGTAGTTACATGTTATAGTGCTACATTCAATTTGGTAGCCTAAGTTGTAGTATGGCATCTACTCTCACGTCACTTCATCCTCATGTTAATGGTAAATCGACAGCTGTAACGTGATAAAGCTAAGAGAAGTGGGCTTGAGACAAAGATCAGCATTGCATGTGTTAGAGGAATACTGGGGAGTATGATACAATGAGGCTGCCCTCCGTTAGAGGCTGAAATCCATCACCACACGATTGTTTTCATCCTTTTCTGCTGGCCTCAACGTTAGCTAGCGTTAGCATTAAGCTAGCTTGCTTGCATCTGGTAATAACTAAACACAGGAACAAACAGACGCTCCACAGTTATCTAGAAACGTTGTCCTTACTCACCTCGCCTTTTTCTTTTGTTAAATGTCTCCTGGGCTTTCTTAAAAACAAATCTGCATTTGTATAAATAGGGACACAGTTGATTCAGATGTTGTTACGCTTTTTCCTCATCCCTGCTGCCACTAGCTAACATTACTACCTCGATTTCTGTTTACTTTTTGGCCTCTTTTTTTTTGTTGGAGGAAGCACCTCTTGAAACCGCTGATCTCTGGTTAGTAAACTGACCTGGAATCGGATTCAGTGGAACGCCTTCTCCTTGCAGTAGGCTTCATCAGAGAACGCTCACTGACTTCAAATCAGCGACCAGGGGGCGTGGCTCTGGGTGGTGACGCGTCACGTCCTTTTACGTTTATGCGCTGCTTCGCGAAACATGTCGGCATCTGAGACAACAACGAAGGTAGCGAAGCCTTTCTGCAACTCAAAACTGCATGCTAACGACACTAACATTTGTTTCACAACTTGTAAACACATTAGCATACATAGCAAAAGCACGCCACCAGAGTAGCAATCTGTCATGATGCAAAATGTCTTTCCTTGTCGATGTATAGGAGCTCTTTGTTGAAAGCTGTGCTACAGTGCTAGCTTCGTTAGCCTGTAACATGTTTTGTGTTAAATTGCTCTTATGTTGTTAATGTTTTGGTTATCTCGTCGGTTCCTCTATCTCTATTCCTTGCATTTTCATCATTTTGCGTTAGTCTTGTTATGTTTTGCGGTTTCTGTATAGTATCTTGCTTCTTGTATGATGTATGTTCAGTTTTCAAAGCTAATGTTAAGACCCACAGTCTACGCACAAGACACATTGTCATGTTTACATATTTGGATTTCGAGGGAGGGTTTTATAAAGTAAGTGTGCAAAATCTCACTGCTTTCCGTTTTATTTGACGGACTACTGATGCTTTGAAATGTGTAGAAATGCATGAATGGGTTGATTGACTGATGGCGGCATTTGACGTAACAACAGACACCATCAGCCATTGGTTGACAGATTTATAAAGCAAGCAGGACAATCAGAATCACACTTTAGGTCAAGTAACAGTATTTGTAATCATACAAGGACAGCTAGGAACAAGGACAACAAAGATGGACAAATAAAGGTAAAGAACAGACAGGACTATTGTATATATAATTATGTGAATATAGGTGTAGAAAAGATTGACTAATTATTTACATTATAATGACCACAATAACGATCACAAACAACACTTATCCTCCTTATTACACACAAGTTATCCATTCTCCATTTGATAAAATATTGCATTACTGACAAGCCAAGTCATCAAACAGTTGAAAGATTAGTTTTTTACCTGGTAAAACTACAAATAACTGCCATTACATATTAGTACTTTAGATTTATAGTGTGTGAAAGGGTCCAGTTGTGTACATCATTACATTACTCCAAAGCTAATTTGCATCTAAATTGCTCCTCATTTGTGTCTCTGCTACAGTGTATTGCAGTGAATAAATGGATATTTTTTAAACAACAGATTGATGTTTTCTTACATTCTTTTTTTCTTGGTTCTTTGCCAGGAGCCTCCTGAAGGAAATGACCAGAAGACACCAGAAGAGTCCTTACCTGGTCCAAGTCAAGTAAAGGAAGGTATGTATAGAGGGAGATACAATTTGATAGTTTAATCTGTGCTTTTAAGGTACACAAATAGGCTGAATTATTGTCTGATTTTTGTATTTTTACTACTTTTACAGATAATGCAGCATCCATCACAGCTGCTGTCCCCAAGAAGACAGAGCCCATGGGTGGTATTTCATCAATGTTGTCATCTCTGCGACCTGGAAAGGACTCTTCCAAAGCTGGAGAGGAGGGAGAGAAGTGGTCACCTGCGTCCTCCCCTAGCAAAGCAGCAGCAGGTAAGGCTTTGCAATCAGTAGAAGCAATGACCTAATTTGACATAAAGCATAAACTCAGCAGTTTGCGATTCGTTTTTTAAGTTCCTTGAACCCTTTTAGAATAACATATTTGCTTGAGTCAGATTGAATGTGTTACAAATTATTGAAGGGCTTCAAAAACATTTATCAATAAATTCACAGTAATGTCTTTACCTCTCTCTTCAAGGACACGCAGCAAAGTCCATTTCATCATTTTCCCCCTCTCCTTCGACGTCTTCAGCGTTGTCCCCTGGCCGAGCTAAGATGAGTGTCTCTGGACCCGGCAGTAGTAAATCCGTCCTGGCACCTTCTCCTTCCCCGTCCTCCTCTTCTTCCTCTTCTTCCTCTTTTGCCACAGCTTCCTCATCTCCTTCTGTCTCCCCTCCCCCAACCAAGATTCATCGGGCTCGAAAGACCATGAACAGGCCTGCAACCGGGCAGGTGAGTCTACAAAGCAGGGCTTTTCTATTAAAATGTAAACGAGAATGTGTACCTCTGTCTTGAATATTGATTTGGCCCCTTTTTCCTTGACCCGAGTAAACATTTAAAAATGTAAAATGTGATTATAATTCAGCCTCCAACAAAACACACATTGTATAGTATTTGCTCAATTGACGGTACTGACGGTTTTTATTTCACAGATGAGCCACACTGAAGCACCTGTGATACCTTCAGAATCCTCTGAAATTGAACAGGGTTAGTGGCTTTCGCATACTCACGCTAACTAATGTTTTCCTCTGGAAAATAATAACGTTTCTATGAATAAACAAGTGAGAGTCCCTTGTATAAGTGAACACTCACTCTGTTGTGGTTTTAATTTTTCAATAGTTGCAAAAAGGAGAAAACTTGGTCATTTATCTGAAGACATACCTGAGAAATCAGAAAACATTCCAGAAAATGCTCAAACTGTGGTAAGATCATGTCTTTGCCCGCACATAACTCACTTTTATTCATCAGATTACATGCAATTAGATTGAATGTAATGTTTTTTTTCTTTCAAAACTCAGGAAGAAACGTTATTTCATAAAAAAGTGGAGACTGTTACCAAAACTGCACCAGAGAAGAGCAACAGCAGTGTTGGGAAATTAAAGCAGGAAGTTGCAGAGAAAATTCCTATTTCCAGTCCGTCCATGCAAGATTCAGAAAAGGTTTGACGTTTAGATCTACATATGGTTCACTTACAGTTGTTATTGATGCAAATATTAGCATATGTATATGATGCATGTTTTTTTAGCAACTGAAGGAATAATTGTTTATTTTACTATTGTCAAATTTCATCAATAGTTTGAAGATGGTGGGGCGGAAGCAAGACAAAGTAAAGACATAGAGGGGTCTGTGAACATGTCAGATCATGTGAGTGCTTTTACTTGTTTCACTAGCTTGATAATTACATTCTTATCTAGTAATAGATATTATATAAATTATAATATGAAGATTTATATATATATTATTATAAAAAAGTTTTAATTTAACTGTATCAAAAGGTGGAAAAACAGTGGCAGAAATATGTGTGTGCGTCCATGCAAACCGTAGAGATGCAAACATATATACTACATGTTCATCAAAATGTGCACTGTCGTGTTGCTTGTGTTAAAAAAAGGACACCTCAATCCTGCATCTCCATGCCCAGGAAAAAGAGAGAATCTCGGCTGACGTGGTTGAGACAGTGGGAGGTGAGTGACTTTACTCAGTGAGTTAAATATACATATCATTTATAAAGCAAGCTTTCAGCCCCCTTTACTCTGATCCAACTACATCCTCACTGGTGCAGTCAGTTAAGGTGAGATCATAAGCTAAACTAGAGAATGCAATTCCTGAAGAAATTGCTAGTGGGAATGCTTTATGCTGAAAATCTGACGCTAAACTGCTATGCTGAAATGTAATGTGTAAGAAGAAAGTGAAGAATTTAGATTGAAATGATACATGAACACTGGGGGCTTGAATGTGTGATGAGAGAAGAAAAGAGAGTAAAAAGGCTTGGAAAAGCAGCAGAATATTTGAACTGCAAACCTTTGAACTAACTTGATGTTAGTGATGTTGAAGTTTTGGGCCATTTGGAGCATTTTCACTGAAGTTATGAGAACACCGTGTTTCATGGCGGGCATTGTGTTGCCATGGCAACGGCATGTCCCGTAGATGTCTTCACGGCTGGACTGTTAGCACACATGTGAAGTTTGAGCACTTTTTGAACATTTTCATAGGAGTTATAGCGACATCGTCTTTTATGGCGAGGGATGTTTCCATGGAAACGGCATATGGTGAGATCTCAGATTTGGCGTGGAGCTGTTAAGGCATGGACCGGTGATATACAAGTGAAGATTGGGGGGCGATCGGACCGTGTCCATTGGACTTACAGCGACATCGTGCTTCATGGCGAGTGGTCTGTCGCCATGGCAACGTCATTTAATGACACCCCATAATACGCTTAGATGCGTTGATGGCTGCATCGTTACCAAACCTGTCAATGTGACATCGTGTTCCATGACACAGGTGTTTATATTTGAGCTAACGACGACAGCTGTGTGTCACCAATAATGTATAAAATAGGTGGAACATGTTGAAGTCAGTATGAAGTCTCCATCAGACAGAAAAGAATAGGCTCAGACAGTCTGTTAAACTCCAGTGACCACGTCGTTAGCTCAAACACGAACACCTGTGTGTTATGACATCATCGTGTTCCATGACACAGGTGTTTATATTTGAGCTAACGAGGTGTGCAGAGATCAGAGGTTTCCATTGTTCTGAATGAGAGATAAACCTCTTGCATGTGAACGTTTTGTCGAAGAACCGTAACAGATATCTGTGAAATTTCAAAACGTGAAGCATCTCAAGGACCTTGAGTATCTGAAGTGTAATTTTTGTGTACTTTCGGGTTAATAATGTGGCCTTTTTGGCAGTTTAACTAAAGGTGTGCGGCTGCTACCGTGAGGAAATATCAGCCTGAAATTACAATGGGCTTTAATGGAGACATGTTGAACGTTTTTGTCACTTCATGCCCTCAAGAGGCATTTTGTTTAATTATTTTGCCATAATTATTTGTCATTTTTCAAGCTACGAGATGTTTTCCTACGTTTGTTATGAAAAATGATGTCTCAGGAATGTAGGGTTTGGGAATTATGGCAGTTTAAAAAAAATATATGAAGGCAAATTTCAGGATTTCCTCCACTCTAGCTGTGACATCACGCACTCTAGTTAATGTTAAAATCTGAAGAAAGCCTCTTTACCAAGGTCTGAACAATGTTTAATATCTCTAAAAGTAAGAATCAGATTTAAAAGTTGTGTTACACGAATAATGTCAGAAAGATGTGTAACATTTTAAAGTTGGAATGAGGTTTCTGAGTGAAAGTATGAATGAACAGTTAGCAGTTGAAGTCGCATGAAGATTTGTTGAAGTCTGAAGAATTTCTCCATTGACTTCAATGGTTAAAAATGTGATGTATTATGGGATGTATCTCTGGAATTATGAAAGTTATGAATGATAAAAGTAATAGCCATCGATTCCCGACCGAGCTGAACGTTTTGATGTTTGAACAGAGTTTCTGCGATGTTGAATGTGGGAGGAGAAGAGGGGCAAAATAAGCCGGCGGAATAATAAACTTTTTGTCCGTAGCATAACATATAGTTGGAATGCTGTTATCAGCATTCCCACTAAATGAGGATCACATGTGTATGATCAAAGAGAAAAAAGTGATTTTAAGCTTTGATTCCTCCTCTGTCTGGAAACTATAGCCATTGCTTTGCCAATTTCCCGCCAAAAAACTTAAAAAATAAAAATGTAAATAAAAATAAAAATGTAAATATACAGTGGAAGGATACACAAAGATCTCCAATGCGCTGAATATGTCTCGGAGTACAGTTAAAAAGATCTGCACATGTCTCTCTCATGACCAATGTTTATACTTTGTTATCCGGTTTACAGCAGGAAGGGCCACTGAGTACACGGAGGTTCCTCTGGGTGCTCTGGACATCTCCGCTGCCGACAGTCTGACTCTTTCTCCTCATCACGGTGAGTTAATGATACATACGTGTCCCTTTTTTTAAATCTGAAAAAAGTCAAAAACAAACTTGAAATGAGTTGTCAATGCTGGGATCTAGCTTACCCCAAACATCTCAAATTACTGCTAAAAATAGACAATGGACAGACTGAAATAGAATCAATCTCCCAACCTTTTGGTGACCATACTCTCTTGGTGACAAACATCATAAACATTTCAATCTTTCTGTTCCCTTTGCAGAAGGAAGTGATGCAGGAGACACGGAGCGGCTGGAGGAGCTTCCTCTCTGCAGCTGCAGGATGGAGGCTCCCCGGGTGGACAGCAGCAGCCACCGCATCAGCAGACAGTGTATGGCTACTGAGAGCATCAATGGAGAGGTTTGTGTTTTTTAGATTTCGAGAGCAGCATGACGTCTCTGCTGGTCTGTTGTAGTTTATAAAGCTCACATCTCAAACTGTATCTTGTCTTTCAGCTGAGGGCTTGTACCAGTCGGACTATGAAAGGGGAGACCATGCGTCCGTCCAGTCGGGTGCCCCTCATGATGCTTTGTGAGATCCACCGCTCACACATGGTCAAACACCACTGCTGCCCTGGGTGTGGATACTTCTGCCTCGCGGTAAAGAGTTTAAACCATCTACTGTAGGAATTTACAAGCAATAACTTAAATATGGCTTAAAATGAAGGTTTTCTCCTTCTTGATTCCTACCTTTTTTCTCTTTCAGGGCACGTTTCTAGAGTGCTGCCCAGACCAGCGCATCGCTCACCGTTTCCACCGTGGTTGTGTGACGGTGCTGGGCGGTGGGCGCAGCAGATCAAACGGCGGCGGTGGCGGCGGCATGCTTTTCTGTCCTCACTGCGGGGAAGATGCCTCTGAGGCCCAGGAGGTCACCATCCCATCCTTTAGCTCGGCCACATCCTCGGCAACCACCGTCGTCACCATGTCTGCTTCCTCCACCACCACCCCGTCACTGCCGCCCTCCACCCCCACCGCACCCTCACTCACAGCCTCAACAGGAGGGATGAAGGATGGGAAGATGCCAGAGAGACCTGTCAGGTAAATTTGGATGACCTGGGAGAAATTGATCGGTTCCATTAAACTGTAAAAGTTACATTTTCTTTCCTTTGCGCTCCTTATTCGCCTCTTTCAGTGCACGCATTCATAGCCATGGTTTGGTGACACTGGCAGTAGAGCAGCAGCCTCCGCAGCCTGTAGCCTCTGCAGCCACTGAGGCCACCCTCCCCCCGGCAGAGGAGGGGGTGGACAGCGTGGGACCCTCCCTCTGTATGCCAAATGGGAAACCCATCAGCCCCAGTGCACTTCCACCTGGGCCCAGCAGGGCGGCGCTGCAGAAGGCCATCCTCACACAGGACACTGAGAGGTTGGAGTTTAGATTTGACTGTTTTCACTTGTACAAGGATGTAAAGTATTTTCTTAATCATGTTCAGGTTTGCTTTGACTCTTTCAAAGGAGCATTCTGTGGACAACTTCACATCAGACCAGTTGAAATTAAGTTGGTGGTTGTTGTTTTTATGATCTGCCAGGAGGAAGAAACTGAGGTTCCACCCCCGCCAGCTCTACCCGGCTGCCAAGCAGGGGGAAGTGCAGAGAGTCCTGCTCATGCTGAGTGAGTGGGCTTGAAAAAGTTGAAATCATGATATATTTGTACAATATTTGTGTATTAAAACTGTGTGTGTTTCACAGTGGAGGGCATAGATCCAACATACCAGCCTGACTCCCAGAACAGGCGCTCTGCTCTCCATGCTGCAGCTCAGAGAGGCCTGCTGGAAGTCTGCTACATTCTCCTACAGGTGAACACTTTTTTTGCATCTGTCGTTGTTTCTTTGGGTGATTAGGACACATGCTTTACACATGAAGATACATTCCTGTAATCTGTTGTGAAGGAAACTTTTCTATTTTGAGAAAGTGTGTAAAAATGGCTAATTACAACTGCAGCTGATGTCCACAGTTAATATGAGAAAACCTGCATCGGTGAGAAAAAAAAAAAAAGTCTATTCATATATAACAGATGAAACAGTCGGATATTATTACTTTAGATACACATTTTATTACAGGAATGTTTGACTATGCTTGCTTTATTGCTCAGGTGTGTATACTGCTTGTATTATTTAAAGCGTATCTCAAAACACAGAGCTCATTATTCTGTGTATTTCATTAATCCTTCCTGGTCCTTTACCAAAGATTAATAGTTATTTTTGAATGTGTACTAACAGGCCGGAGCTCAAGTGGATGCCCAGGACAAGGACCGTAGGACCCCTCTGCTTGAGGCGGTCATCAACAACCACATTGAGGTGGCTCACTATCTGGTCCAGAACGGAGCCTGCGTCTATCATGTTGTGAGTGTCTGTTAGTGCCTACAATGAAAAAGATAAATGTGAAGTTTCAGGGGTTTGGTTGATATGGAGTTCAGTGTTTGTTAATGTCTTCAGGAGGAGGATGGATACACTGGTCTCCACCACGCAGCCAAACTGGGAAACCTGGAGATTGTCAGCATGCTGCTGGAGACAGGGCAGGCTGATGTTAACGCACAGGTAAAGGAAGCACCAACATGTATTAAAGGCCCAACAGATCACTTCTTGTCTATAACTAATGTCAGTTTGACCATCATATCTGTTTTACTGGTTCGGTTGATTCTGATTCTTCCTGGCGTTTTGATCTCAGGACACCGGGGGCTGGACGCCCATCATCTGGTCTGCAGAGCACAAACACGTAGATGTGATTAAAGTGCTGCTGAACAGAGGCGCTGATGTCACCATTAGTGATAAAGTAAGTTTCTTCAAGTTCAGTGAGGTTTGGAGATTGTGTTACATGTAAAATGCCTTTTTGCTTGCTGCTCCTTTGAGTATGCCTGTTTTTATATTTGCAAATCAGCAAGTGTTTTTTTTTGGGGGGGGGGATAGGTCACGTTTGTGCATGTCGTGTATTTGTCTATCTGTCTGATATCTTCTATGACTTTATGCTCAAGAACCTGTTGCCGTTGCGGCTTACTACTATTCAATTTTTATAAAAATAACAATGTAATTGACTTTGTAATGACAATGTAATGATTGTTCTGCCTGCTTACTCCTCTTCACTGACCAGGAGGGGGTACAACTGCTTCAGTAGCAAAAGGCATTTGTGGAAATTGGCTTTGATTAAAGACAAGCCTTAGTAGGAATCTCCCTGGGCTCTGAACAGGATCATCTGCAGAAGAATGACATACCCAATATGTTATGTATTCTTTTATATGTAAGTTGCATGAAAATGTTAAAGGTTATTACTTTAATCAATCTCTTCCCTCCCAACAGGAGCTGAACGTGTGCCTCCACTGGGCAGCGTATGCAGGGAATGTGGATATAGCAGAGTTGGTCATGAACTCTGGCTGCTCCCTCGCCTCAGTTAACTTGCACGGAGATACGCCGCTTCACATCGCCGCCAGAGAGGGCTTCCTGGAATGTGTTACGTGAGTCGATGTCATCATAAACTTAAGCCTATTTATTGAAGTCATATGAATTCTCTGCTTTTTCTGGAGCCAAAAGCACCCATCCATTTTCCAACTGTTTCTTCTGCAGGTTGTTCCTGTCCAGAGGGGCAGACATTGACGTCGTGAATAGGGAAGGAGACACGCCTCTCAGCCTCGCTCGGCCCGACACGCCGGTGTGGGTCGCCCTCCAGATCAACAGGAAGCTAAGAAGGGGAATAACCAATCGTATGCTTCGGACCGAGAAAATCATCTGCAGGTTGGTGTTATTTTGTGGAGCCATGTCTTTAAAAAATAAACTGTTTCTTTATTACAAGATTGTTTCCTGTTATTCTTTATGATTTGACTCCATGTTTATTTTTCAGTGACGTTGCACAGGGCTATGAGAACGTCCCGATTCCCTGTGTGAACGCAGTGGACGACGAGGGCTGTCCGTCAGACTACAAATATGTTTCAGAAAATTGTGAAACTTCGGCAATGAACATAGACCGCAATATTACACACCTGCAGGTAAAATATTATATCACGCTCTCTTTTACTAACAAATAATATTGTAATTTGCAATGAAAAATGCATCTCATACATGTTAATGGTCTTGTCTTTAGCACTGTAGCTGCACTGATGACTGCTCGTCTAGTAACTGCCTCTGTGGACAACTGAGTATCCGCTGCTGGTACGACAAGGTAAAAATACTTTTTTGTTTTAAGGCCAAATTAATTATGTATTATGGTCAAAAGAAACTGTACATTTTTTTTTTTAAAGCCTTGACCTGAAAATGTGGTACATTCTGCAATTATCAGGAGAAATTAGCTTTGGTTCAGTCAGTGAGATCCATGCATCAATGAAAAGGATTCATTATTTACAGAGGAACCTAAAGGAGTGATACTAATCTCAATTTATTACACTATTTGTTTTTTTTTAGGACCAGCGACTACTCCAGGAATTCAACAAAATTGAGCCTCCACTAATATTTGAATGCAACATGGCGTGTTCCTGTTACCGAACATGCAAGAACAGAGTGGTACAGGCAGGCATCAAGTAAGAAATAAACTCGTCTAGCGTAATGTTTATCAACCACTCAGGTTTTTTAACTAGTTTTAACAGCAACAAATGTCACTGACGACCTTCCAACAAAAAAATGACATTGTGAAGTGACTGGCTGGAAGGAAAGAGCTGGATATGGCTGCACCATATTGTTGCAAAACATGTATTCATTGGCCCCTGCATGACAAATAACCGCAGTGCTCACTTTGAGTCTGAACCCTCGTCTTGTTTCCCCTCAGAGTTCGTCTTCAGCTCTACAGGACTGAGAAAATGGGCTGGGGAGTTCGAGCTCTGCAGGATATTCCCCAGGGAAGCTTCATCTGCGAGTAAGAGAGGATTGTTTTACACACAACAGGTTGCTTTACAGTATGTGAAAAGCTACAGGTTGGAAAATAAGCTTTTCTACCTCCCTCCACTCAGATATGTAGGGGAGCTCATCTCCGACGCAGAGGCCGATGTTAGAGAAGACGACTCCTACCTGTTTGACCTGGACAACAAGGTGAACCTTTCAAGAGAAAATGCTTTTGTTTTTCATCAAAACAGAGATGACAGGAGGGGAAAACATGACAAGGAACATTTGCTATATTTCCTGTATAACCAATAATACATAACTATTAAAGTGAATAATTAGCCAGAACTTAACTCGTGCAGAAAAAAACAGTACCTCCGCTGCTGAGCTGGGTAAAAACCTCCTAGGTTTTAGCTTACTGCAGTCTTTCAGCTAACATTTTTTATGGGAATAATCGTTTCAGCCTTATATTTCTAGATGAACTTATAATTTCAACCTTTTTTAATAAATCACCTCCTTAATGTAGAGAATCAATCAAATTAGTTTATCTAAAATTGGCAAAAGATGTTTGCATGTGGAGTCACATTTTATTAAAATTCTGCTTCGGACACTATTTATTTGTAAAATACTGCAAAAAAACATCAGCTGTATTCATTGGTGGTCTGTCTCCGTATTTAGATGGATTTCATCTTATACAAAAGCATATTTAAATCGTGTAACATTTTCATTTATTAAACTGGCAAACGTGGAGCACTGAATAGGGATTGAATTCTAACACGATGCATGTTTTTTTTGTTTTTGCTAAAGGATGGTGAGGTGTATTGCATTGATGCCCGGTACTATGGCAACATCAGCCGCTTCATCAACCACCTGTGTGACCCGAACCTCATCCCAGTGCGTGTGTTCATGCTGCACCAGGACCTGAGGTTTCCCCGCATCGCCTTCTTCAGCTCCAGAGACATCCTCAGCGGACAGGAGCTGGGGTGAGAAGCTGAGACGTTTATGATCACCTGCTCAGAGCTTATTTCTTTATTTCCCTCCTCTTGTTTTTATATTTATTAATGTTTTGTTTCAGCCTCTAAATTATGTAAATGTTGTGCTTTTCTTTGTTTTATGAAATAGTTAACTGGAAATCTTACATCTGACATTTTTAAATGGGAGGAACAAATCTGTACATTAATTGATTATGAAAATCATTTAGAAAATCATTTTAATGTCAATTATTTTTCAAAATCATTAACTTAAAAAAAGAAAAACAGACACGGATAAATTAAATGCATGTATACTATACAAATCTAAGAATATGAAAATAACTCGGTAGAGCAGTCCGGGACCAATGATTTATTCGTTAATCTTCCTCCTTAGTTACCTTCTCTACCCTCTCCTGTTTATCCTTTCCCTTACATTTCTCCCTTACATTTATGTATTGTATACAAATGAAGGACCCTTATTTGTTAACAACTCATCTGTCTGAAACTCCATCTGGCTGTAACCTCGATGAACAACTTTACAAATATATATTTTCTTCCCTGTTTCATCAGATTCGACTATGGAGACCGATTTTGGGACATTAAGAGCAAGTACTTCACCTGTCAATGTGGATCAGAGAAATGCAAGCACTCGGCCGAGGCCATCGCCATCGAGCAGAACAGACTGGCTCGACTGGAGGCTTGCCCAGATTCAGGAGCTGACTGTGGGATGAGCATGCTGGGAAACTCTTAAAACACTTACCCATGGGGCCTTTGGATTAACCTCACCCACTTCACATGTGAACATTTGCAATGAAAATACACCTAGTGGGTTATATCATGTTTTTGATGCATGGTGCTGTTTTTCTACTTGAAATGTCCTTATTTTCCTCCCAAACTTGCCATCTTAGAGTTGACCATGTCACCTATGGTAGAGAACATGGGCCTTTTTATATATGTTTAAACTGTGTGGGTGTAAAACACATACATTTGTGATTCTGTACATACAGTATATCTACTGTATATTAATGTCTTTTTCATTAGCTCATGACGATTTGTGCATTACGAGTCCCAAACTGTCATGCATCTTCTGTTGTGCCAACAAAACGCTTCTTAACACTTTGCATTTTTAACACAGTTCAGTCATGGGCCAACCCTTTAGCCCATACTGGACTCGAGGACCTGAGGGATGTTGACTTTGGATGATTGTCGTAGCTTTATTTTCTTTATTTTTATACGCATTGTTTTCTTTATCACATTTAGTTTAATAAATTAGCTCATTAGTTGATCTTTGGGCTCTTATATTGAATGTGTCATTTTCTTTTTAAATATGTTTCTCACTGGTTTACAATATTCCATGTAATCCTATAGTATCCTGTAATTTCTATACCTTTTATCCTATGTCATTATGTGTGCATATGCAATATTAGGATATTATACAGTTTATAGGGAGATGTGGCCCAAAAAATGTATTTCCTGTTGGTGTTATTGTGTTATCAGCAGGGGGCAGCTAGCTACAAGCTACTATGCAAACTCCACAGGGCCCAGTCAGAGAAATTAAAAGGAAGATGTCTCACTCTGCTAGCAGTTCTAGGAGTCTCTTTGAATTGGAGACTGCTAACGGATAAGAAATGCTTTGTTGGCATCTGGTTGGCATCCATCCATATACAGTGCAGTACAGAACAAAGAGATACGGAATAATGATTATTCGGTTGTAAGGCAAAAAGAAGGATGCAGAACAAGAATACAAGACAAGGTACATACAAATGTACTAACATAATACTTAAGTGAAAGAGCTCAGTATTTCTCCAACCACTGCTGTTTGGTAGATTCACCTATAATAATATATTGTGCATTTTAAAAACTGATTTTTGATTTAATTCAAAGTTGTACTGTTAGATATTTAAATCTTAGACTATGGTATAACGATTATGAGACAATAGGCCCCTGGAAACAGACATGCAAAGTGCCTCGCCACATCTATATTGAAACATGACAAACAGGTATAGTTGTACTCTTTTTGTGTCTCTTTTCAGGTGTAACACATCTCTATGTGGTCTTTGCTGCTGTTTTTCGAAGTTGTTTTGGTGTCTTTCCAGTCATTCATGTTTCTTTGTGGTCCTTTTGAGTATCTTCCTAGTTGGTGCCATTTTGTAGGTAAAGGCCAGGGGGGCGAAATAGGTTTTGATTAAATGCACTTAATCTTAATGCAGTAAACGTTTAGGTTTATTTAACAGGAGCAGAGTGAGCCCTTATTTCGATAAACGATCTGTGGTAGCACGCTCAGGTGCGCATCCCTCTGCAGGTGCGCTCGCGCCGTCACTGCCTGGTTACTAGGAAGAAAAAGATTTCCTCACGTAGTAACTGAGTCGGCTCAGACTCGGTGCAGCTCCTTTCAAAAGTGATTTTAGCTGTTTTCTAAGAAAGTTTTACAATAACTTTAAGCAAAGGAAGTTGTGTTTTAAAAGTTAACGAAGAAAGAGGTGGAGGTTAAGTTGGAGAATGGGTAAAAAACAGGAGACAAATCCGGACTCGGAGTATGGTGAGTTGAAATCGCCCGTTACCTCAGACTGAACCATAACCTTAACATCTTATTTACCTAAGTACTTAACCAACTACTTTTGGCTATTACTTTTCATAATGATTTCTGCCTATATTTTTCTTTTGTTAAAAGGATGTAATAATTTGATTTACCAAATTATTTTCAAGATTAAGTTATTCTTTTTGACATGGATAGCTGTTTTATTACATTTAAATCTGAAGTATTTCTTGTAGTTTCAGTAAGTAAGAAAGGTATTGCTAAATAGACAAACTCTTTCCTTAAGGCCATAAATCGGCTTGTTTACTGATGTTTGTGAGTCAGATTGCACACTTTAGGATCCTTATTAAAATGATTTAATCTTTTACAAAAAACGTTTTGCATTATGTCACAATATATTTACAGCTGAGCAAAACATAATATAAAGCAATGCTTAAAATACTCAAGTTGCTCCGAATTGGCTATAAATGAATGTCATAAACATGTATTTAAAAAAAAAAAAAAAATTAGAGTTTTATTCTTCTTTTTTACATTTAAAATACTTCATATTTTATACTTGAACTTCTTAAAAAACAAATGTTATGGTGAAGCTTTAACGTGAGAATTGTTGTTGATTTAGCTTTAAAGAATGACTTATTTTAATACATTTTCTGTCATCAGCTAATCAGTTTAATATTTCAGCATTAATGGATTTATCATCCCATTACTTTCTCTATTATTGATTGGATTATTAAAAAATATGAACAAAGAGGAAAATGCCCATCACACGGTGTTATTATGAAAACATAATAAATAATCAACAGACCAAAAGCCAAAGATATCTATCCTACAATCATATGAAACAAGTAGAGGGTCCTCACTCCTTTCCACAATTACTTTAGTGCTTTTTATATCACAATAGTTGCAGATAGATTTTCTGTTGATTCAATATTTTAACCTCAATATTGATTGGTCATAGCAGAGTCTTTGAATGACAGATGTTGTGATAAAGACATGATGAAGGAGAACTACACTATCAAAAAAGAAACAGAAGATAATGTTGTATCAACTCTCCGTTTCTCCATATCCTTGTTTGCGCTTGTATTTGGAGTATTGATCAAGTCGAAGTCTATTGACAGTCTGGGAGGTTTTCAATGCTACGGTAAACAAACCCTCCCAGGAGGTAAATATCCATCCGTATCTCATGACTCCTCAGAGAAAACACCAGAATAAGATTAGGACAGAAGATGTGTCATAGCCGAGAGTTTACTTATCAGGGTGACAAGTGAACCTCTCTTAACATACAATAGACTTTATGTGTAAATTATCCTTCCTCCTAAACTCATCACCATTTGTAATCTGCTTCCTGCTAATTCCCTGTTGTTGTGCTGGCCTTCATGAGGAAGTTAAAATGTTGGACATACCAAGTTAGGCTGAATGTTGTACAATATGTCTGTGTTGTGGGTTAAATGCAACCAGTGTGTCTGCTAAGTGTGAACACACTCAGTTTTAAGGAAATAGGTGACTTGCGGCAGTTGCGGGGGGTTTGTTGCTGCAAATCATTGACCAAAAAGTATGTTGCTCAAGACAACAAGGAACAAGACTGTTGTTGACACTAGTGAATATTTCTGATTAATTTTGAAAAGATGTTCGCCTGTTTTTGAAAATGGTATAATGTTCGTCACACGGAATCAAAACATTTCTCATATAGAAAGTGTTATGAGTGAGAATTAAAGAAACTTCTGTATTTCAGCTGTCTGATGTAGAGTTTATTTAAAACATTTTGACAGGTGGACATCTCATTTTGAAACCAGGACCTACATTTTTGAATCTTTAACAATTAAGTGTCATTTCACATGCAAAAGCAACATACTCTTGCTGTTTCCAGCTTCACGAACGTGCTTTTTCTCTGTTGTGTTTAGGTCAACCAAATAACATTGGGTTTTGGATCTTAAACGCTGCAGAGTTATAATGCAGCGTTTATCCCTTTTTCCTGACATTTCATTGGCTAAAAGTTTGATACATATTTGTATTGAGAATGAAAATAGTTGTTTGTTGCGAAACATTTATCTCCAATTTCTCTTGGAATGTTTATGAGAAATCCTTTCTGCTGCTGTCATGGCTGTGACATGTAAACCATAAAGGTACTCAGGAGTCACATAACAGTTTTGACAATCAAATCAATCACACTTGAATGAATACACTCCCTACCCTCTTACTTGACATTACTTTGTAAGAATGACTATTTTTACTTTCTTTCTTTTACCCTGGGATAGTCAAGTGTATACTGCAGGTTACCAATTAACCTTGTTGTCATCTCTTTTCACAGTCAATTATAAAGAAGGGTGAGGTTTGTACTTATTTTTTGTACAATAAACCACATATTCTTTACAGTCTTTATTTTTGATTACTTAAAGGTGGGGTAGGTTATTTTGGAGAAACCGGCTCGAGTGCGCTAGAATTTGAAAATACACAGCCGGAAAAAATCTGCCACTTCCTTACAGAGCCCCTCCTCCAACACACACGAACGCGCACATGACCAATGAGGGCACGAGATAAGTTTGTGCACAGATGGAAGGCTGACAGGCAGGTAGGCCATCCAGTTATTTTAGCCGGGCCGGCTAAAATGATTGGTCGTGCTTTTTACAGTACTACGGCTTCCACAGATGACGTTTTTTTATGTATTTTTTGTCAAAGCACTTAAGATATTCATTGCTATCGGGATGTTAAGAGCATTCCATGGAATATAACACAAAGTGTATCTCGAGCCGGTTTCTCAAACTTACTATACCCCACCTTTAAAGAAGGGCAACAGACTATTTTGATCTTAATTTCTTGCCCAAAATAACTTATTCATCTTGTGATTCATTGTGTTACTCAACATGCACAAAGTAAAGGGAAATTAGAGATCAGTTCCTTCTTCAGTCAAGGTCAGGTGATGACCCTCACAGCCATCATCCTGCAGCGGCCTGTCTAGGGTTCAAGGTCCATTGGTTTAAAGCTTTTCACCAGCTTTTAACGAGGGCATAAAAACTGAAAAGTCATTTAATATGTCTCACACACAGTCACAGAGAGTTGTTTCCACGTTGTCATTTACTCATGACACACAGCAGTATCCTAGCAGAGCTGAAATCTGACACTGGAGGCATGGGAAAAGGCAGAGGAACAGGTTCCTCTGTTGAGAAATGTGTGTATCACTGCCAGGGTCATTTCTGTCACATTCAACAAACAAAGATTATGGAAACAGTAATGACCGCAGATGCATTGTGTAGTCGGTCAAATTCATGTCTTATATAAACAGAAATAATACAAAACATTATTTGCATCTCAATTTTGAATACATATTATAGAAATGCAACACAAAGTGCTTCAAATAAGGGAAGAATAAGCCTAAAATGTAAATAAAAACAGGGATGGAATGACACCAATTATAGCATAATGTAAGATGGACAATAAATAGAACTACAAATTATAATAAAAAATTATAATAGTTGAAATATTAAAAAAATTGCAGCATGCAGAAATATCAAAGTGTATTCATTTATTTTTTACACTATTTGTTTTTATTTACTACATCAGTGGTGGGGCTTTGAAATGTTCAGATGAAAACACACAGGGTATTTTTGCCTTCAAGTTAATGGGTAGATTAGTACAGCTGCCTGTTGTCATTAATACACTTGTTTGTTGTTTATATAACATCCATATCAGATATAACTGTATGTAAAAGAGTGTGTCAGTAGGAAAACCCTTATCTAAGACGTGGAAATAAAGTTTCTAATAATTCGTTTTTAATAATTCCTTGGCCACTGTGTGAACGTTTGTTAAACCCTCATTCTGAATGTGTGTGTTTAGCATTTTTGGTATTTGTTTACTAGACTGAGTCTTAGAGCAGAATGAAAAGCTACCAGCTTGGTGCATCCTCTTCAAATATTTGCATCCTACTCAGAAGTCCTGACAAAGGAGTTTGCTTCGAATTACAGTCAGTGATACATTGCTCCAGCTGCCATATGGTGAGCTGCCTGGAACAATGTCCATCACGGGGACCAATCAAATCAAGCATGTTAGCATTTGCATGTATCAGATGGGAATCCCACATACAACCGACAGAGAAACACTTTTTATTATATCCAGACTCTTTGTCAACACTTTTATTGGTGCTGCAGCGCAAAAAAGATAATTGACTTCTGTTATTATTTGTGGTATTTTTAGTGTTACATCTGCCAAAGGATGTCTGCGTGTTCTTAGGATGGCACTCCAAGCTGTCGGTTGTGTTTTTCCTGCCCGACTGGATGAGGCAATGGAGGCTAATTTGGGCTCACAGATCTGACTCATTTGAGGAATTTCTTCGGTTTGCCTCACCTCAAACATGTTTTGATATTGTTAATGCCCCCAATAAAATAACTTAGCGTCTGTGACACTACCCCTTCCTTCCAAAGCCATGTTTTGAATTCAAATGATATTCAAATAAGCACGAGCTGCTAGTATCTATGCTTTTCCTCAGCCCTGATCCTTTTCCCTAGGAACTAATGTGAACAAACTCTTTTGTGCTTATGAAAATCATTATTATGTTCTGTATGCTAAACGACACCCAGTGGTTTCCAGTATTTGTCTTGCTGGCAACCTTTCTTTCTGTTCCAGGACACGACAATGACATATGTATTTCCTGTTATACCTGTCACTTCTGTAATTGCAATTTAATTGTCAAGGACCTGTGAGCAACTAACCCACATGAACCAATATTCCTTCTCTAGTCTCTAAAAGTATTTCCTTATTCACCTGTAAATGTAATTCATTAACTCTAAGAAAATAACCTGTGTTCAAAGTGAGCAATAGAGAGAATATATAAAAGATATCTTTGTATGCAAATGTACTTCCTCATATCCACATGTATAGCACACAGATTAAAAGCATTTCCTTGAGGGGGAAATGTCAGGTTAAGTGCCATTACAGAAGTGTGTGAAACTAATGTGTCCTTGAGAATCTCCCTGTAAACACACACAGAAGTCTCTGACTAATGTTTCATGATAAGGCTGTACCGGTCAGTGATTAATTGACTTTTCATTCAAAGCTAACTTGTCTTGTTTTCCTTTCCCAGGAGAACCGGCTCAGTTTGACCCAACGTTCAATGGACCCATGAAGAAAAGGTAACACTGTCCCTGTTTTTTCTTTGTTTTTTTTTACAAATAACTCCTTAAACTGCAAATCCTAAACCCAGCAGATTGTGTTTTTCCAAAGTTCCTGTTGACTGAATCACATTTGTCACCCTCAAGGCAAACTTTAATGCAAAGCTCAGCCTGTTTACAATAACCTCTCCCTTTCCTCCATCAGAGGGTGCACTGATATCATCTGCTGTATCCTGTTTATGGCGGTCCTCCTGGGCTACATAGCAGTCGGGATTTTGGGTGAGAGTAACCTGACAGCACCAACACATGCCCCAAATATCTCCATCTCCTCTCTACGCCCTTCTTTGTTCCACTGAATTGGAAAAAATAGCAAACAAAGATTGCATAGTCTTTCAAGTTTCATGAATAACCAGGAATACCAAAATGAACTTAAATGTACATTTTTACATAGATGTTTTGGTTAACATGTTGAGATGTATTTCAATGAAATCCTTGAAGTATTATTTATTTATTTTTATTTGAAAGTTTGTTCCTCTATACTCCCTCTCTCACACTCCCTTTTTGTTCAAAACACTAAAAGTGTGATGTCAACGGTTTTATGGGGAAAGGTAGCAAAGGAAGTGTCAGTTCCTTTACAGTCTTTCTGTCAAAATACAGACAATACACATATTTGTGTCTTTCTTTGTTTCTCTACCTTGGTAGTAGCCTACATCTGAAATTACTCAATAGAATTATTGGGGGGGACACAATAATATATATTTTTAAATATTATTTTAACTAAGGTTTTGTGTCTCCTGTGATTTCCCTTTGAATGAATCTATTCTATTTCTTTATCATAATTCCTCGATGCATCTTAAAAAAAAAAGATGCACGTTTTATATGTTGAGAAATATCATTACGTACGAAATGCGGATTTCCACGTCAACATCCAGTCAGCGGCTCTTTATTGCCCTGTCATCAAACTCATTCCAGCACTTATAACTCCCTCTTATCTAGAGTCAACAAAGAGGCCAGATAAGCCAAATATGTGTCAGCGACTGTGTGCGTCCCAAATAATCAGATCCATAGAGGCAGGTCAAAAGCATTAGTTAGCTATTGTCGATTTGTTGAGTGGAGGAATCTACTGGCTATTGTTAAAACATGAGGGCTGGATTAATCCCTAATAAAATACTTAACATAGTGTCTAGCTCAGATGAAGAAACGATGCACTTATATGACCTTTGTGCCCTCTTGTGGTTGGACTGAACATATTCATCAATGGCTGGTATCACACTAAATTCTGGAATGTTAAAAGACAGTAAAGCCACTTTGGTGCATGCAAGTGTATTTTTTTTTTATCTTGCTTAATGGCATACACATTTTGACAACACGAATTGTGTTCTGTGACCCAATCTTTATATTAGACTGTTACAATTTGTTGTTAAAATGCTGGTAAAGAATGGGGTTGAGTATGATAAAACTGCCCTCTTGCAGAAGTACCGTTTCCTCAGTGCCAAAACATGGAGCGTGACTTACTGTCATTATCTTTTGTGTATGTTTTTCTTTCCTATTAGCTTGGCTTTTCGGCGATCCAAGACATGTTCTTTATCCAAGAAACTCAACTGGATGGTTCTGCGGCATTGGAGAGAATGAGTAATTCAACCTCTCCTCTTTTCGAAAAACTTTAACATAGATATAAAGAATGTGCATTGTAAGGATTTCAAATCTTTCTCTCTCAGAGGCCGACCCAACCTGTTCTACTTCGACTTCATCAAGTGTGCCACATCTGTTAATGTTATGGCAAATGCCCTTAATGGTTTTCAGTGTCCAACCATGCAGGTAAAGAAGGCTGCTTTTGTTGTTTCTGATGATACTGGTCGGTTAACTGTACTATCCCAGTGTCCCAGAAATAATCCTCTTTTTTCTCTACCTATAGGTGTGCGTGGAGAGCTGTCCCTCTGAGTTTTGGGCTGTGGGGATACCGTCATATTTATCTGTAAAGCCAGCAGACGTTTTCAATCAAACTCTCTGTGTGCCATCCATAGACCTGGCAACAACTAAGTTGGTATGTCCCATTCTTAGAAAACGTTGTGTGTTCCTTTAAAAAAAATCCCAGATGAAAGATTTGTTTTGATCATTTTTAGTACATTTAACATTTTGTATTATGCTTTATAATTTGCTAAAGCTTACACTTTGATTGATTCACATGTAATTGTTAAACTATGTGATAATGTTCTTCTCAGAGTGTTCAAAACATTGTGGACAAGGAGCTGTGTCCTTTCTTCTACATGCCCACGATCTCTGGTGAGTGTAATGCTCCTATAGACTACATACATTACATCCATATTAATATTGGTCTGATGATACATTAGCACTATAGCAGGGTGGGTATGAGTTTCATACGGCTGCTTATTTAGAATGTACATTAACTTATTGTCACTGTTGTGTATTCGATGGATGATGGCTTGTGATGGAAAGTGCCTTAGATATCAAGGAAATTATAGTCTTCAATTTCAAGCTGATTTGATTATTTTCTGTTCTGATAGTGCTGGGGAGATGTTTGCCCGATATCACAGCACTGGACAGGGTCCCTTCGTTCTTCTCAGATATTCCAGGTTTACCCTCCTCAGTCAATGACACAGTCAACCAAATGATGAACGGCACAGGGTAAGATACAGAGTTTCCTCACCTCATCGTGTGTTGAATGACAAACTCATTCTTTGTTTTTCAATTGCTTTGACTCATTTCTTTGAACCAACAATTTCCAAAGTGTTGGATGTCACAACTGTTTCATGGGCAATAACATATATTTCTGCAAAAGGTGGTAACTTACTCAAGGCATTTCATTTGTTCCCAAACAACCTAGTTATTGTTTGCAAATGAAATTAAAGTTTGTTTTATATGTGAGCCTTACTCTTCAGAATATTGAAATGATGTAGTACAAAGAAAAACGCTAAACTCATGTGTATGTATAGAATACTTGAATCAATGGCAAATTAAAATCTGGTGAGAATAACAAGAGCATTGTTCAGAGATTTTAATTTACGGTTTTAAAATTACAGTTGTAATTCTAGTTTAATAATCGAGCCAAAGAGGAAGTCAAAAACTGTAAATCACATATAAGGACACACCAGATACAAATGTTAACCCTGTTTCTCTCTCCTCCTGATGACCAGCACACGGTAGGTCTTCATGAGTGTTTGTGTCGGCTCTTAGTGTAGCAGCTAGTTTGTAGTTGCTGTTGTGGCCTTAGATGCTGTGTGAAACGCTCTCTTGTGACTTGCGGGGTTAGTAGTAGTAGAACGTAATGTGTATCTCTCTTAAAGCAGATACATTTCTCCATTCTCTCTTTCTCTATTCTGATTCTTTGGGGTTATGTTTATCTTTTTAGTCTTTACCACTTCATTTATTTTTGTAACTTCCAACAGGCTGTATTCATTGTTTGTTTATTAACACATTTTTTACTCTACCCTTCTATCTTCATTGTTTTTATTTCACTAGGCCTTTTTTACTTCTCACTTTTACTGATGCATCTTGTCCTTGCTTTTTGTCATTAGGGACATTGTGAATGGCTTCAATGCCAGAGACATTGGCATCCGCATCTTTGAGGATTTTGCGTCGTCATGGCCGTGGATCCTCGTGTGAGTTACCCTGCAGAACTACACCACACATACACTGCCAATTATTGGCACTAATACAGATATACATTTCCCTTGAGATTATCCTGAGCTGAACTCCTGGATGCATCAATAATTAGCATTAAATATTTGTTTGTTATCGTACTTGGACATGACGTATCTTTATTTTATTATATTACTTCTGTTATTATTCTTATCTTTGCAGACCAGGTCTTTGCATTCCCTTTATACGCACCTTATTAGCCACCGGTCAAACTCACCCATCCATTCAGTAGTCTTTTAATCTAATATGTCTTACAATTGAATAGTGTATGATTTGATCATCATAAACGTCTTAATTCTTTATTACACTTTCATCTCTGGTATTATATTAACCTTGTGTTTTCTATACCCTTTTTCTTTCTTTTTCTTAATACCCATGTTATATTCCCTCTCAGTGGTCTGGTAATAGCCATGGTGGTCAGCATGCTGTTCCTGTTGCTGCTGAGATTCACCGCTCCAGTGATGGTGTGGGTGCTCATCGTAGGAGTCCTGGGTGCAGGGGCATACGGTAAACACATAGAGACCTCAGTGTCTCCCACTACCCAGAAACATTTCTTAAGCAACATGTATATAAAAATGTGTGTAACGGAAAAGCTAAAAACTAGATAAATAACTTGGTCCACTGTTCAAATGTAATATGTAATTTAAGTATTTTAAATATTCTTCTCAGTAACTCTAACTGATTGCATGAACGGGTATTAACAGTAAAAAGTTATATGTAAAGCTACGTAGCCTCTCACTGTTACATTGTTGTTTTTCTCTTGCAGGTATATGGCACTGCTACTGGGAATATAGTAACTACAAGAATGCCTCTGCTACCATTTCTAACATCGGTTTCACAACCAACTTTAACGTTTACCTGCAAGTCCAAGAGACCTGGCTGGCGTTCTGTAAGTCTGCTTACCAAGATCATGACAAATAATATTTTTCTGTACTGTTTACTAGTAATAAAAGCTATCTATAAAGCTTGTATTATTTAAAGCTTATTTAAATAACCTGTTTTGGCAATGTTTCAACCACGAAGCTTTTACTTAGGCAAATAGTAGAACAGGAAATAACTAATGACATCATAAAGGCCAAATCACATCCAAAGATAAATGCAATAAAACCATTGTTGATATACAGAAGACACTTCAGTTTTATAACACCACTTGATTTATGACATTGTAAATAGCTTCTGGTAAAAGATAACCTTAATTTAAGAGTAACTGCTCTCCGCAACTGTAATTGTATTCCGTGTTGAATTATGTCAGCTCACATTTGTACGCTTAAGTAGGAGTTTTTCCTTCTTGTCACGCTTTTGTCTCCTCCCTCTCAGTGATAATCATATCTGTGGCGGAGGCCATCATTCTCCTGACCATCATCTTCCTGAGGACCAGAATCCTCATCGCCATCGCCATCATCAAGGAGTCCAGCAAGTGAGTCCTGACGGTGTACAATAAACGTATTTTACTCTCTTTGAATTACCCCTTATATTAACCCATGTCTATGTTGTTCTTTAATCTTTCTGTGAAGAGTGCATAACTTTAAATGTGTGTGTTAATATTCTACAGGGCAATCAGTCACATGATGTCCTCTCTGCTCTACCCTCTGGTCACCTTCGTTCTCGTGCTGGTGTGCGTCGCTTACTGGGGCGCCACTGCTTTGTATCCTTCATTTTTATGTTTGGATTTGCTTTTGTATTTCTATGCATGCTGTCAGTCACAGTGTGCCTTTTACCAGATTAAAGTAAACATGTATCTAAGCTGTACTTCTATACAGTCCAGAGTGTCTGTTGTTCTCTTTAACTGATGAATGAAAGATATTTGGCCACTTCAGGAGGCCCGATCTACAGAGTGGTGGCTCTGAACTCCACTATGAACGACTGCAAGAGTATCAACGGCTCTGTGGACTGTGACCCTCAGGTGAGTCGGCAGGATGGGAACACGGAGAAGTTTGTCTCAAAACTGCCTTTTTTATTCACACATAAAAACTTGGGTTCACAAATGTCTTTCCAAAGGTTATACATGTTATAAAGTATTAGGAATGTGTGCATGTATTCACAGATATTTCTTTTATTTGTGGAATTTGGTTGTGTATTTCAGATATGTTTTGTGAGTTTACACATTTGTATTAGTATTTGTTAAAGTTGTTTATGCTAGATTACACTTTTACACATGATTGTAGATCTAAATTCATCATAACACTCGATACAAATTGTGACCTACATTGTAAACTTCTTACATTTATATCTTTGGTTGAATTGGCAAGTAGAATGAATTTGGCTCTGTTACGGTAGCAGTTAAATTACCATCATTTACTAACATACAATTATTTCCCCTCTAAAACTAAATTACTAGCCATCAGAAAGGGATAAACATAAAATGTCCTTTCACCAGAGATAATGCCTGATCTGATAAGTACGAGGAGACGTCATACTGTTTATGCTAAGACTCTTCACAGCCTCTCAACCACTGCACCATTCCACTTTCTTTTTCTCCATCACCCACTCATTCATTCATTCTTCTCTCAGAACTTCAACACGTCAGACTACCCAGGCTGCCCCTCAGCCAGCTGCATATTCATCAAATACAACGAGGAGGGTGTCTTCCAGAGGAACCTCTTCAACCTGCAGATCTACAACGCGGTGGCTTTTCTCTGGTGTGTCAACTTCATCATCGCCTTGGGCCAGTGCACGCTGGCAGGGGCCTTCGCCTCCTACTACTGGGCCTTCAACAAACCCAACGACATCCCCTACTTTCCTTTGTCTGCTAGCTTCATACGCTCTCTCAGGTGGGTTGATGAGCTGCTGTCACATGGTCACATCCTCTTACAGCAGGTGTGTCCATCCCTGCCAAAAAAGGTCAAAAGGAATGCCTGCAGTCCCAAAGGCCGCTATTACTGGTTTACTGTCATCTTGTGATTCTAGTGACATGATAACGTTACCGAGGGTAATGCACAAAGGGGAACCTTTTTAACCTAAAAGTACTCAAGAGTGCTCCACAAAAAATACTGGTAGAAGCAGCTTCCTCTCTGGCTTCTAGAGGGCGCACTAGACACACAACATAACAGTTTGTGGAAGCAGACCTCAGCCTCATTTTTTTGCATTTCAGGTACCATGTGGGCTCTTTGGCGTTTGGTGCTTTGATCCTGACCCTGGTGCAGATAGCGAGGATGATTCTGGAGTACATCGACCACAAAACCAGACGTAAGGCAGATAAACCCTCATCTAACATTCACATCTCATCTCTCATCTTTTTTATGTTTATTCGTGTTACATGTGCTTCAGTGTAAAAAGTCCTAATATTTACAAGTATTTATCGAAGTGTTTTTTATTCAGCAGTTCCACTTTTAGTCTTAGATACATAATATATGAATCTCATGACATATTATGTTGATTAACCTCCAGTTTATTTTCCAAATGTCTCAGTGGATAAATTCCTACTAAAGATGTGCAGGCTGTTTACAAGTGGAAAGGAGTTGGAAGTTAATGGTTTCTGTTCATTGACAGGCTGCTTATTTTGTCTTTTTGTCTCCAGAGGCTCAGAATCCATGTGCACGTTTCATATTGTGCTGCATGAAGTGCTGCCTCTGGTGTCTGGAGAAGTTCATAAAGTTCCTCAACAGGAACGCTTACATCATGGTGAGGACAGAGAATTGTACAGTTGTTGAAATCAGTCCATTAGAAAACAAACATTTACAATATTATACAGTATGTTGTATTTTAATAAAATGTATTGTATAGATTTCTTTTCTAAAACAAGTGATTTTGTTTTTCCACAGATTGCTATTTATGGGAAAAACTTCTGTGTCTCAGCCAAAAATGCTTTCATGCTGCTCATGAGAAATGTAGTGAGGTTTGTGTTACAATCATGATCATGAGTTCAATTTCAATGCTGGCTGACCTCATGATGTCTGCCCAGTGCATGACATGAATATATATCCTTCTGTTAGGCGGTTTAGATGAATAATGTTGTGTTTTTCTGACTGTGTGTCCCTTAGGGTTGTGGTGCTGGATAAAGTCACAGACCTGCTGTTGTTCTTCGGGAAGCTCCTTGTGGTCGCAGGAGTGGGTAAGGATGACGCCATGTATTGGGACGGGTAACACTAGAGAAACGGGTTCATATGTTGTGTTGTCTGTTCTTGTCGAAAACCAAAAGTGTTTATGGTTGTTCTACACGGCCATCCTGGAGGGTGGAGTGGAAAGCCAGCTTTCAGAGAGGCCCGAGTTAAGACATTGTTTAAACACGTGGATAACTGTGTGCTTTTTCATTCTCCCTTTGAAAACACTTAAAGAGTGTTTGCCCTTGATTGTACAGCTTCAAGCTGACAGATCTGTGACTGGCCTATTCTCACCTACACACGTCATCAGTCTCTTGTTACAGAAGTTGTCAGACACAGCCAACTACTATCCAACATGCAGTACTGAGAATACTGAGCCCTTCAGTCAAATGCAGGACTTTGCATTGTTTTAAATGGCAATGCTTCAGATTTATCTTACAGAATATTGTGTAAACATAATCAAAAAGACGTGTTCTTGTAGTGAAGCCAATACGCTTCTAGATAAATGCATAACAGGAAATGGGAGGAGAAACTGAAATCTCTTTTTTGTTTTCAGGCGTCTTGTCCTTCTTCTTCTTCTCTGGACGAATATCGCTACCAGGCAACACCTTCCGCACTGAAACCCTCAACTACTACTGGATGCCAATTATTGTAAGTCACAAATGTTTCTCCTCAGTATTTAACGCAAAAAAAAATTCAAAGTATGTTATAAATCCTTTCTTTCTTTCACATGTTTTTGTAGACGGTGGTGTTTGGAAGCTACCTCATAGCCCACGGATTCTTCAGTGTGTACAACATGTGTGTCGATACACTCTTCCTCTGCTTCTGTGAGTAGATGTTTACAGTTTAGCACCATTCATGTTGTTGATATGGAAATACATCCAACATGAGGAACCTATTGAAGCCGTGAGAGGCAGGGGGCAAACACAGGAGAAACACAATTTAGATAAGACTTAGAAAATGGATCACCAAATGTTTTCTCCCTTGCCTCTCACGGTGCCCGTTTCCTCCTCACGTTGGTAGAATCATTATGTTTTTGTGGAAAGATTTTAATACTTGCAAATATAGTCAAATATTTCTTACATGTTGATTTGAAGCTAAGAAGCTTAAAATGTAACTTGGATACATTTTTGTATTGAACAATACGCACATAATCAAGCACACATGCTCCCTTTGATCACAATTTGTCTTTCCCTCTCACAGTGGAGGATTTGGAGCGTAACGATGGATCTTTGCAGAAGCCTTACTTTATGTCCAAAAACCTCATGAAGATCCTCAACAAATCCAACAAAGCCCCGAAAAAGGTTAAAGGGAAAGAATGAAATCATTTCAACTCCTAGGTTTATGATGCCACTAACACAGTGTCACAGAATATCAGGATCTATATTTTTTAATACCTTTTCAATTGTTTTTCAAACAAGTCTACTGAAACTTATTTGCTGATTTTGCACCTTTTCTTTTTTATTGTATATATGCAAATGTAGTATTAATGGCTGTGCACATGAAAGGACTGTGAAATTCAAAGTGTCTTAGACATCAAATGTATTTGTTAAAATAGTTTTTCTTTGTCTCATGACAAGAAATCCCAAAATAATTTTCTTTTACTCTTAACAATTTTTTCTGGCTTATAGCTGTATCCTCCGTTCATTTTAGACTTATTTATCTTGGGTTTGTTAATCCAGTTTAATGGCTTTTAATGCAAGTAAGAGTTTGACCTGCGGTAAGTTATTTTCTATTTTTAATCACGTTCTTTCATGGATGATTCCTAAGATGTGTTTTCATCAGATGGAACAAAAATAAATAGCAACAGCAAAAAGTAATATTTTTTAGATATTTGTAAAAAAAAAAAAAAAAAAAAGTTATAAACACAAAACATTATTTACAATCACAATAATGGTACTGATTATATGGATAGGTTGTCAATATGTACATGACAATACTGTTTGTCTTCCATCAACCTACTGTACTTTCTCACCTTCACAGATGCTCCTGTACATGTAAACAATCATGGTTGATATTATTTACTAATCTTAGGTTTTTCTTGTTTATCAGATAACCCATTTACATTTTTCTTCCTTTTGTGAAGCCTGCAAATACAGAACCATAAAAAAAAAAAATCTGACTCTTTGGAAAATCTTCTTTTCTGCTTGAATTATTAAACAGGTGACATACAGAGTTTATATATATATATATATTAAATCCAATTAGATAATATTAAAATGTAGATAATGACAACTCAAAACAAAAGGATTTGTTTTTAATGAAGTTTTAATCTCTTACATCATTTGGTTTTGCACAATGTCTCCCATTTTAATTCTGTCAAATCGTGACTTCCATCACTTAGTGTCACATAAGCCTTAATACAAAAAGTTGCTTGAACAGACAGGTATGAAAGAAATGACGAGCTCCAGTAGCAATCCTGTTTCTCCCACAGAAAACCTTGAGTTTCTCTGACCCGGGTGTGATGTTTTATTGTCCGATCCATTGCATCTAGATCAGCTGAATTACAGCGGTATCACACACCAAAATATGTTTAAATATGTTTGGAAGTTATAGTGTATATGTGGGGAATACAAACTCCCATGAAGCGGTTTGTGGCTCCAGAGAGCTGTGTGGGGCTGAAAACAAGTATAAAACTGAAAGAAGTGTGTGTGGAGTAAGAAAGAAGTGAGCGGCACTTGTTCCTTAACTTGTCAGATATTATTAAGATTAATGCGTGTTAGTTTAGTTTTGCTCAACTGCTTTAAACAGTGTTCAGTAAATTAAGGTCCACTGTGTCAGTTACAAAAGAGCAAATCTCCCCATATCAAATCACATTAGCAGGGACGAACAAACTTTATGTATTTAAATTAATTGGTGAAGTTTGTAGGAGTTATTTGGGCTGCAAGCATATTCTAGTAAAAGGAATTCACTTGATTTACAAAAGCATCTTGAGGCCAACTCGCTCAAACCTTTCTCCCTCTGTGGCTGGTCATCCACTCAGAAAACACGTAAAAACAGCATTTACAATATTCATATATACAAATATATAATGTTTACACACTCACTCAGACACACTGACACATAGTCAAGAGAAAACGAATCACCTTGACTGAAGCTTCCTGTAAATGCTCCCCTCAACAAATGACTGAAAGGATTCTCCTCGCGCGTTGCATCGAGTCTGCCTTCATGACGTATTGTGTAGATCTTATCGAGCTACTTTATTAGTCAGAACGTTTCTCTCTCGACAATTTGCTCTTTAATAAACAAACTGTGTGTGTCAGATTGCTTTTTACTCTCAAGTTGCTCATGTTGATGCGAAAAAATCTCCCAAACTGGGGCTAAAACGTTACATCGTCCCTTGTTTGTACAGCTTTGTGAGGAAAGACACAACAAGTGGTTACACGCCAACACACGCTCCAATCTTTAGGACAGCTGCGTCTACAAATGACTTCACAGTGCAATGGCAGGTTTTTGTTAAGACAAATGTATAAAAAAAATCCATCTGTGCTATTTCTACTTGTCTGTTTTCAAGCATTAGTCGCTAATTCTAGGAGTTCTTGTTCAATTCACGAGGAAACTGTAAACAGGAACACAATTCATTTACACTTTTCACCCCCCTGACATCGGACATGAATCATCCGCTACTCTTTGGCCATCTAGAGTAAGAAATAGCAAATAGCCTTCCCTCTCTTTTCATTTTAACTCCACAAGAGGAATGTGAAAAACCAAAAAAAAAACAGAACTAGTCTCTGCCCCAAATTATCCTTCACCCACCTCTTCCGCACCTTAAAAAAAAAAGAAGAAACATGACATACCCTGATCACTTAATACTGTCTCTGAACCCTAGCAGTAATTGTTCTGGGTGTGTTTATGTACAGGTGCATGAAGAAAACAAGCGCCAACATGATTCATGATTTTGGGTTTACGCATAACTTGGGTAAACAAAAATCAATGAAGCAGGTAGCCGGGGCTGAGGAAGTGAACCAGCCTTTGCCAGGAGGGGAAAACCAAATAGATATAATACATCCTGTACTTCTTGTTTTGGGATCCAACACAACACTCCACTCTCTCTTAAGTTAGTACCTGCTAGGAAATGTAGAATGAGTGTGTGTCTGTGGCTTTAGTTTAGCGCGTGGGAGGTTTGCTTTCCGCACTCCTCCCTCTTGCTCATAGATCCAGAGACTCTGGTCCACATCACACACTCAGCAGCCAGAAGAAGAAGAAGATGGCCACAAAGAGGAAGAGGGAGTCCTGCCAGTTGTTACTGCCGTTGTTGAGGTTAGGGGTGCCTTGCTGATCCCCTGCATACTGGTCTGAGGAAAGGGGGGGGGGGGGGGAGATATTACACCAGTGTCTCAGGGGGTGTTGCATCTGGACTCTAGTTATGCTGTTTGGATGGGGCTTTGATCCAATTAGTAAACAAACTAATCCATCACAGGCTTTCTGCAATTTTTGGATTTTTAAAAACACATTCGTGTGTTTTCTTTTTGCAACACATTAATGTGGTCACTGATAATTCAGCATGTTTAGTAGCAGACTTTTTAATAAAATATACAAAATATATATTTTCTCTTCTGCAGAGCGGAATCTGCAGTAGATGTTGAAGTCACATGCTAAATGTTCAATCATAATTTATTTGCTAAATATATTTCCATTGCATTTTACTTTTCTTTTTAACAACTTTTCTTTCTCGGCCAAGTGTAGACATGTTTTTGCCCAATTTTGGCTTTTCGATCCAATAAAAAAACAAAACACCTTTTTTAACTTCTCTATTACCTAGTAGGGATGGGAACGATTAATCGAATATTCGAAATTATTCAGGTATTCGAATATGAGAATATGAGTTATGAATATTTTTATTGTAATTTTTTTTTTTTTTTTTAAATAATTTCTTTTTGGGAGGGGTGCCTAAGTTGATTACATATTATCAAATGGAATAATTCAATGTATACGACAGTGCCATAGCTAAATGTGTTAGGTCTAAAGGTGTGTTTTGCTCCGCTCACCGGTCCCTCACAGCGGGCAGAGCTGCAGGTGCTGATCTCTCTCTCTCGCGTCCGGTTATACTTCACTCGCGTTTATGTCCAAATCCATCAGAAAACCAAGTTATGTTTTAAGCATGAAAGCTCTAGGTCTATAGCTGTCAACTGTTCAAACTGTGATCACCAGTTCAATACATTTGACAAATTCGACTTGGTTTCTAACTTTCTATACTTATTTGAACATGTATTTATTTATTTTTCAAAATTAAAAAACATTTTGTAAAATGTTTTCCCACATTTTTTTTTTTTTTTTTTTATAGGATATGTACATTTCGGTTAATCGGTTAACCGTTTTTTTGGGGGTCGAATATTCGAATATACATTTGCTTTCAAATTCCCATCCCTATTACCTAGTAATAACTATACATAGATCATCACTAAAGCAAGATTTTGACATTTCTAGCTTCAAGTTTTATACTCCTTCCTCCTGGTTACAAATTGTGTCTCCTCAGTTTGAATGATATAAAAAACAACAAACAGAATACACTTATGATCCACAGTCAGCTTTGTTTGTGTCTTTTTGTTTACCTGCTCTGTGAAAGGGGTCGTTGGCGTTGAAGACTGTGGTGAAGAAGCCGAAGGGGAAAGCACCGATGCCGAAAGACATGTGAAAGCCGGTGTCCCCGAAACCTTGAAACATCTGAGGAAAAAACAGAAATAAGGCTTTAAAATAACATAAACATAAAAGAGGATATTGATCTTAAACAGTGGAGGTAAACGGACTCACCCCGCCCCGACTCTCCGGCTCTGTTCTCTGTCCCTGGGGCCGAGGGGGAGTTTTCAACCTGAGCACAGAAGCATGAAATCATAAGGCAACCATACAGCTATCACAGAGAATCCCCACAAAGAGCTGCAGACCCTCAGGGTACCTGGGGTCCTCTTGGCTGGAGCTCCCCCTGCCGTACAGCGGGATGACTTTCTCTCTGCTGATGCCCGCTTTACACACAGGACACTGCTGCCTGCTGGGCCGCGTCTCCAACCACTAGACGGAGCAAGAGAGGGAGAAATGTCAACATTTTCCAACACTGATCAGATGAACCCCGTCTAAATACTGGGGTCAGTGCCAAATGACATACCTAATATATAAAGAAAGACTAAAGATTTAAAGGCATAGTTTGGATTGTTTGAATTCAGGTTGTATGGTACTTGTGCAAATCCATTGGAGTACAGGCACAGAAGCTAAGCTAAGTACTGCATCAAAAACCTATTTCGGCACCAGAAAAGAAAAAGTCAATATCTAATGTGTACACCTTATTTAGAATATTTTCCCAGCTTTACTCTGATGTTACAGTCCTCTCTCACAGCGAACTGAAGCCGTCATCATTGCTCTCTTTAAAGTCACCTGAGTCCATTGACCAAAACAGTAAGTTAAGCTCACAAAACATTGGAGTTGTTTGCCATAATGTTAAAGCACTTTGAGCTGCATCCTGTGTATGAAAAGTACGACACAAAGAAAGCCTTATTATTCATAGTACTATGACTCATTCAACCTCACCCCAGCAGTACATTCTTAACAAAACCTTGGGATTAACAGTCATTATATTCCCATAAATGGTTCCAATAATGTTTTATTGACTTGAATCATCAACAGTATGAGATGTTTGTGTTGCTACACTGAGAGCAAGTACAGCTCTACATGGTAAATGAGTGAGTAGCAGAGAGAAAACCGCAGTAAACAGAGCATTAAGTGCATTAGCATGTTTAAGCTGCACCAGGTCAATGGACAGGTGAAGTTTCCACACTGAAGTTACATCACAGCCGTGTGCTCATTACATTTAGGTTAACATGCTGGAGGTAGAAGGCCCTACTCAGCAGCAGCTCGCTCACACAGGGGTTTTCATTTATGCACGGCTTTGCTGCAGTCTGGTAGTGTGACATCAATAAAACTGGTTAATGTGACTGAAACAGGCACGATAGTCACAATTTGACATCAAATGCTTCAACTGGCCTTGAAATTAACTGTTTTACAGCTGCTGAGGAAGTGAATAAGTGGACCAGTCCATGTGAATGTTTACAATCATTTTCATTATCAGTTAATCAATGATTATAAAAATGATTGTAAACATTCACATATTCACTTCCTCAGCAGCTGT